TTATCTGGTTTTGGAGTGAATAAATCAGAGGTTGACAAACTTTTTCTGAAAAGGGCTAGATAGTAAAAAGTGTTGTCTGTGAGGGCCACAGGGTCTCTATTACAACTGCTCAATTCTGTCATACAGTGCAGAAGCAGTCATATGCAATACCTAAGCATACAAGCATGACTATGTTCAAATAAAACTTTATTTGTAATGGAAATAAATAGAGAAAGAATATAGCTTTTAATGAGTTAGGTGAAGCTAGTCCGGAAAAACGGTTTATTTCCCAGGCCATTAATATTATTTCTAAAAGCATTTGACTCCAGAGCAGAATCCTGAGCTCTGTGGTGACAGAAAAGAATCGTTGCTGTTTTTGTTAGGTGTCATTGAGTTGGCTCTGACTCACAGAGACCCTATGAACAACAGAACAAAATTCTGCCTGGTCCTGCAACATCCTCATAATCGTTGCTATATTTGAGCACGTTGTTCAGCCACTGTGCCAATAAATCTCACTGAGGGTCTTCCTCTTCTTTTGCTGACCCTCTACCAAGCATGATGTCATTCTCCAGCGATTAGTTCCTCCTGATGACATGTCCTAAGTAAGTGAGATGAAGTCTCACCATCCTTGCTTCTAAGGAGCGTTCTGGCTGTACTTCCTCTAAGACAGAGTTTTTTGTTCTTCTCGCAGTCCATGATATATTCAGTATTTTTTGCCAACGCCATAATTCAAATGTGGCAGTTCTTCAGTCTTCTTTTCCATTGTCCAGCTTTCACATGCATATGAGGCAATTGAAAGTACCATGGCTTGAGTCAGGCATACCTTAATCATCAAAGTGATATCTTTACTTTTTATCACTTTAAAGAGATCTTTTGCAGCAAACTTGCCCAATGCAATACATTGTTTGATTTCTTGACTGCTGCTTTCATGAGTATTGATTGTTGATTCAAGAAAAATTAAATCCTCTACAACTTTAGTTTCTTTGCCATCTATCATCATTTTGTTTATTGGTCAAGTTGTAAGGGTTTCCATTTCCTTTATGTTCAAGTGTAATCCATACTGAAGGCTGTAGTCTTTGACCTTCACCAATAAGTGCTTCAAGTCATCTTCACTTTTGGCAAGCAGAGTTGTATCATCTGATTATCTCAGGTTGTTAATGAGTCTTCCTTCAAACTTGATGCTGCATTCTTCTTCATACAAATAATCTTTTTAGATTATTTGTTCAGCATATAGATTGAATAAGTAAGGTGAAAGAATACAGCCCTGCTGCACACCTTTTCCAATTTTAAACCATGCAGTATCTCCTTGTTCTGTCTGAATAGCTGTCTCTTGATCCAGGTGCGGGTTTCACATGAACACAATTAAGTATTCTGGAATTCCCATTCTTCACAATGTTATCCATAATTTGTTATGATCCACACAGTTGGATGCCTTTGTGTAGTCAATAAAACATAGGTAAACATCTTTCTGGTATCTCTGCTTTCAGCCAAGATCCATCTGGCATCAGCAGTGAGATCCCTCATTCCATGTTCTCTTCTAAATCCGGCTTGAACTTCTGGTGGTTCCCTGTAGATGTATGGCTGCAATCATTTGTGTGTGTGTGTGTGTGTGTGAGAGAGAGAGAGAGAGAGGGAGATTTAGGTGAAAGTTTACAAAGAAAATTAGTTTCTCATTAAACAGTTAACATACAAATTATTTTGTGACGTTGCTTGCCAATCCTGTGATGTGTCAACACTCTCCCCTTCTCCACCCCAGGTTCCCTGTTTCCATTTGTCCAGTTTTCCTGTCCCTTTCTGCCTTCTCATCTTTGCTTTTGGGCTGGTGTGCCCATTTAGTCTCATATACATGATTGAACTATAAAGCATCTCCCTCACGTGTGTTATTGTTGGCCCTATGGACCTGTCTAATCTTTGGCCGAAGGGTGAACCTCAAGAGTGACTTCAGTACTGAGTTAAAAGGATGTCTGGGGGCCATACTCTTGAGGTTTCTCCAGTCTCTGTCAGACCAGCACGCCTGGTCTTTTTTTTTCTTTCTTTTTTTGTGAATTTGAATTTTGTTCTACATTTTTCTTCCGTTCTGTCCAGGACCCTCTATTGTGATCCCTGCCAGAGCAGTCAGTGGTGGTAACCGGGCACCATCTAGTTGTTCTGGGCTCAGACTGGTGGAGGTTGTGGTAGTTGTGGTCCATTAGTCCTCTGGACTAATCTTTTCTTTTTGTCTTTGGTCTTCTTCATTATCCTTTGCTCCAGCCGAGATGGGACCAGTAGATGTATCTTAGATGGCCGCTTGCAGGCTTTTAAGACCCTGGTCGCTACTCACCGCAGTCAGATGTAGAACGTTTTCTTTATAGACTATGTTATGCCAGTGGAGCTAGATGTCCCCCATGCTGCAGTCATTTTTTAATTATCTTCAGCAAAATTTTGCTAGCTTGTGATATTAGTGATATTATTAGATAATTTCTGCATTCTGTTAGATTGCCTTTCTTTGGAACAGACATGAGTAATATGGATATCTTCCAGTTGGTTGGCAAGGTAGCTGCCTTCCAAATTTCTTGACGTAGATGAGTAAGCGCTTCCAGCATTGCCTCTGTTTGTTGAAGCATCTCAATTGGTATTCCATCAATTCCTGGAGGCTTGTTTTTTGCTAATGCCTTCAGCATGGCGTGCACTTCTTCCTTCATTACCAGGGGTTCTTGATCATATGCTGCTTCCTGAAATGGTTGAATGTCGAGCAATTCTTTTGGGGATGGTGACTGTGTATTTCTTGTATCTTCTTTTGATGCTTTTTGCATTGTTCAATTTTATTTTTGCCCATAGAATCCTTTAATATTACAACATAAAGCTTGAATTTTCTTTTAATTTCTTTCAGCTTAAGAAATTGCCAATCGTGTTCTTCTGTTTTTGTTTTCTAACTCCAGGTCTTTGCACATCTCATTATAGTACTTTACCTTGTCTTCTCTAGTTGCCCTTTGAAATACTGTGTTCAGCTCTTTTACTTTGTCATTTTACTTAATCATAAAAGAATTAAAAGTAATAAATCCTGGTCTGTCTCAAGAGCTTATAAGAGAAACAGAACTTATATGAACACAGCTTTTACACAAAACAAATGTACTGATTAATATATTACAAACTTATTGCATATGTGCTTAAAGGTGACTAGTGTCATTCAGGAGACTGAGAAAGCCTCCACATTCTTCATGCTATTTAGTTCTCCATATCCCTTCCATAATAACTCACAGGAGCCCTGGTGGCATAATGGTTAAGAGCTCAGTCTACTAACCAAGTGGTTGGCAGTTTGAATCCACCAGCTCCTCCTTAGAAACCCTGTGGGGCAGTTCTACTCTGCCCTGTAGGGTCACTGTGACTTGGAATTGACTAGACAGCAAAGGAGTTGGTTTTTTTTTTTTTTTTTTTTTTAAATAACCCACAGTAAATAGGTTTTTTGATGGGATAGGAACAGAGAAATCCAGGGTACCTGAAATGGGTAGGCCTCATGGTATGTCCACAGCAAAGGTTGCTGGAATTCCATGAGGCAATATGAAGGTTCCAGATACTCACACATTCAGGCAATATTAAGAACTCACTGTATACCAGTGGGTAAACTGTATATCCTATAATGTATCAGTGAGAAAAACAGACAAAATGTTTATTTCATGGAGCTTGTACTTTAGCAAGATGATGGAGGTCATCATACACAGATGCATGCACACATACATACATACATCATAGTATGTTCTGTGGTGATAAGAGCTATGAAGGAAAATAAAGCAAGTAGAAGGGACAGAGAGTCATAGGCTGGCACTGGGTTGAGAGGTTACTGTTTTCAATAGGTGGGTCAGGGAAGGCCTCTTCTGGTCGGATGACTTATGAGTAGACAGCTAACTATAAGCAGACACCTGAGTGTCACTATAATTGTGCCACCTGAAGAAAAAAAACAAATGAACCACACCCATTGAGTTGGTTCCAACTCATAGTGACCCTATAGGGCAAGGTAAAACTGCCCCATAGGGTTTCCAAGGAGCAGCTGGTGGATTCGAACTGCTGACCTTTTAGATTAGTAGCCAAGGACTTAACCACTGCACCACCAGGGCTCCAGTGACAATAATTATTGGGAATGATGGGGGAAGAGCTTTCCAGGCAAAAGGAAATATGAAGGCACTTGTTGTCTGAGCTCATTAAGTGGGATGATCAGCAGCTGTGACAAATTTCTTCTGCATAATTTGGTGTACCCTAGTTCTGCAGAGAAGAGAAAAATATTTAATGATGAGAAGAAAGAGCACCTGCTTTTGTACCAACATACAGACATTTACAAATACTAATGCTTTAATAACAGGTCAGTCTTTAACTCAGTACTATCAATTCTGAGGTTTTTCGCTGTGAAATTTTTGTTTCTATATAGTGCATGCCACAGCATAATGTATTGGCAGCAATACCTCCCTTCGTTACATGCTGAGGGTTGATCTTTTAGCAGGAGAGTCACGTGGTTCACTGAGTTGATCACTACTGATTCTATAATCCTTAAGAAATGAAGGTTCCCACTTCCCTGGAGCATTATCGATACTGGAGGGACCACCAAAAGTTTTCCTCAATCTGAAATTGGCATATTTGTGTAAGAAGTTTTAGATATAGAGTAATAGATATATGACAGAGAAATACAGGTAGAGACATGAAAAAACAGAGTAAAAGAGATGATTAAATATAAAATAGATATTTATATTCCAACATGTAGTGGGTACTCAATAAATGTTTGCTTATTATTAATTGAAATAACACCTATCACACACGTAACACAATTACTTATAACATAAATACTTTTCAGTATTTCTATTTGTTTCTATCCTTGACATATTTAAGAACATATAATCATGACGGGCTCCAAGAAATGAATGGAAGATGAGCATAGACTTCTTGTGTACTATGTCAAGCAGTGTCGTTCAGATCATGTGCTTTTTTTTTTACTCTTGTACACAGATATTTGCACATTAAAAATTAACATCTTATTCCTTGTCAATTTCTTTCAGGGCTTTTTTATCCTCAATTGTCCAGACTTAACACCTTTGGCTTTCCAATTGATTTATCTTAATTTGTCGTATAACGATATCCGCTACTTTCCTTCAGAAGTGAGTTCATTTTTATTATTGTATATATTGTTATAAAATTTCTTATTATGAATAATAATCATAACAACATAGACACCTTATGATACCCTGGAGTTACTAAAAAGTAAATAAATTTTGGATTGCATCCACAAAGTCTTATTTTTAGAAGTACCAAAAATACAGTATATCTTTCTTAGAAAATCCCATGACATAATCCTCAAAGACTGTTATAGTCAGGCTGTCAAATATGTTCTCATTAGTTTTCAAGCAGTGAATAAAACTACAATAAATTTCTACCATGTGATAATTGGAGCTTCAAAAACAAAGTTAGTGATGAGGCAATTTCATGTTATAAGAAGTTTTAAACACCATAGGCTGGAATAGGATATACTGTTTAATAAAACATATCAAGGATAGTCACATATGGCTATCATTTTAATTCAGTGTAATCTAAATAGATGAGCACTGGAAGAGATCCGTATTTGTGCCCACTCCAAAGAAAGGTGATACAACCAAATGCGGAAATTATCAAGCAATATCATTAATATCACATGCAAGTAAAATTTTGCTGAAGATCGTTCAAAAGCAGTTTGCACCCTTAATAGATTCAGAAAAAAAATTTGACAAAATCCAACACTACCTTTCATGACAAAAACACTCAGCATATATAAACAGAAGGGAACTTCTTCAACCTCATAAAGAGCATCTATAAAAAATCCACAACTAACAACATTCTTAATTGTAAAAGAATGAAAGTTTTCCTCCTAAGATCAAGAACAAGATGAGGATGTCTGCTCTTGTCACTTCTAGTCAACATTGTGCTGGAGTTTCTAGCCAAGGAAATTAGACAAGAAAAAGAAATAAAAGGCTTCCAGATTAAAAAGAAAGGAGTAAAATTATCTGCATTTGCAGGTGACATGGTCTTGTATATACCTGTTAAGGATAGCTAAGGAATCCACTAAACACTATTAGAACTAATAAATGAGTTTAGCAAGGTTGTAGCATACAAAATCAATATACAAAATAAATTGTATTTCTATATGCTAGCAACAAACAACCCCAATAATAAAGTTAAGAAAACGATTCTATTTACAAGAGCATCAAAAAAGAAAATATTTAGGAGTAAGTTTAACAAAAGCATAAAACATATACTCTAAAAACTACATAACATTACTGAAAGATATTACAGAAGACATAAATAAATGGAAAGGTATCCAATATTCTTGCATCCATTATACCCACTGCTGTTGAGTCGATTCTGATTCTTAGTGACCTTATAGGATAGGGTAGAACTGCCCCCATAGGGTTTCCTAGGCTGTAATCTTTTTTTTTTTTTTTTATTGTGCTTTAAGTGAAAGTTTACAGTTCAAGTCAGTTTCTCATACAAAAATTTATATACACATTGCTATATGACCCTAGCTGCTCTCCCTATAATGTGACAGCACACTCCCCCTTTCCAGCCCGTATTTCCCATGTCCATTCAACCAGCTCCTGTCCCTTTTGCCTTCTCATCTGGCCTCTGGACAGGAGCTGCCCATTTAGTCTCATGTATCTACCTGAGCTAAGAAGCACTCTCTTCATGAGTATCATTTTATGTCCCATAGTCCATTCTAACCTTTATCTGAAGAGTTGGCTTCAGGTATGGTTTCAGTTCTGGGCTAACAGAGAGTCTGGGGGCCATGTCTTCTGGAGTTCCTCCAGTTTCAGTCAGACCATTAAGTCTGTTTTTTTCCTCTTTTTTAACTAGAATTTGAGTTCTGCACCCCACTTTTCTCCTGCTCCGTCAGGGACCCTCTGTTGTCTTCCCTGTCAGGGCGATCTCCCAGGCTGTAATCTTTATGGAAGTAGATGGCCACATCCTTCTCCAGAGGAGCTGCTGGTGGGTTCAAACCACCGACCTTTCGGTTAACAGCCAAGCGCTTAACCACTGTCCACCAGAGCTCCTTTGTTCGTGCACCAGACTAGTGTTTAGATGGCAGTACTCCCAAATTGATCTACAGATTCAAAGCAATCACTATGAAAATCCCAACTGCCTTTTTTGTAGAAACTGGTAAACTGGTCCTAAAATTCATATGGAAATTCAAGGAATACAGAATAGCCAAAACAATCTTGAAAAGAAAAACAACATTGGAGAACTTAACACTTCCTTAATGCAAGAATAAGTATAGGGTCACTATGAGTCAGAATCAACTCGATGGCAGTGGGTTTTGGTTTCAGTCCAGCAATTTGGCATCTTTATAATGATTAAAAAGATTTAACGTTTAGAAGAGCTAATATTACACCTTATTAAGACTCACCAGAGAGCAAGAACTATTTTAATCAAGCATAGGTCATAAATTTAAATGATACATTCTATTTTTTATTTCATTTGAAAAATCAGTGTATAGGAAATTACTATAAGAAGGAGGACAATCTGACTAAGCTAACTGACAACCTACTGATCACTAAGCTTAATTCCACTCATCTTCCTGGTTCTGCACGTATCTTCCTCCTTCTTCATCATTGCATAATTGGCTCGTGAAACCATGACCTCGGTCAAACAGGATGACTTTCCCATTTAGAAAAGGACCATTCTTGAGTCAAGGGCATATGAATCTATAGTAGTTGCACTATTTCACCATATCATAATATTAATTCTGGTCACTTATTCTGAAGGTTTACCAAAGGTATTTATTGAGATACATATAATACATCCAGTTAACATTACAGTAAGTACCCGGGTTATGAACGTCCGGTTTACGGACAACTCGTACTTGCCCTTTAATGTTCTGTGAATTTGCCCTCAATTTAAAACGACTGAACCAACCCCTACTCGAAAAAAATTCTTCATCACAATCACCTTCACTTGCTGCACGTGCAGCTTTTAAATCATTGAAAAGGCTTCCAGCCTTTTCTTGCACTAAAGTGAGGCTGAATAAGAACTGTATGCGCCTGTTACAGCTTAAAGGCGCGGTTAGGAATGGATCTCATTTGTAACCTGGGGACTACCTCTACTATACTGACTTTACTACATTAGTTTCAAGATTCTATAAAAGGTAACAAATAAGGGATTTGCATACTTTGTTATTCCACTCATGATTGTTTCTCTTTTCTGTTCCACAGATATTTTGTCTTAAAAATTTACAAGTACTAAACCTGAGAAATAATCCTATCAAAGAAATCCCATCTGAAATTAAAAAACTTAACTACCTTAGAGTTTTCATCATGGCCTTTACTTTGATTACTTTTCTTCCACCCGGGTAAGGTTGATAGTCTGAGATTATAAACACAGAAAAGAGAGAGTTTCTAATTTGGAAAATGATTAACTTCGCTTTTGAAAGTAGTTAGCAGCTTTTTAGCCATTTAGTAATTCTTACTCTGTTATAAGTAGCTGATCTGCTTCTAATTTTGGTGGTAAAAATGATCCTACCAGCTACATAAATGGTAACTAATAAAATAAACACATCTCAAGATCCATTACTTTAGTGTGTTCACAAATCACGTAGAGCAGTTCAGATGAGAACCTGGCACGGTTTTTTGACTAGGGACAGAGCACTACACATGGAATTAGGGAATCTAGACTTTTAACTTCAAAGTTGATGGTAACTATTTAATCTGGGAAAAGTTACTTAACCATTCTTGGCCTCAATTTCTTGATCTATAAACTAAGGGGATTGACCTGTATAATCTCTCAAATCTTTTCAACTATACCATGCATGTTGGTATCTGTGTGTGAAAAAGATGGATTTCTTACCAAATACAGACTGGTATTTATTTAAGTCCTAATGAAAGTTTTCCACCAAAACCTTAACCAAATGCCAAACTAGATGCCTCTTCCAGTGGGAGTTTAACAGATTGAATGTAGGTTAAGGGCAAAGGGATATGGACTCTTAAATAGTTGAACGATATTTCAAAAAAAAATTGTCATCATAATGAAGGAGGTGCACCCAAATTTATTTACAAGGATATTCATATGGCATTGTTTGTAAATAATTATCCAGTGAATTGTACATTCAGACACTGTAAAACTGTTCCATCATTTAAAAGGATAAAGAAGTATATAAAAAATTATACCATTTCTGTATAAAAATACACATATATACATCACATATATAAAAAAAAGAATAAAAATGAAGTAAGAATGTTGTATTTGGGCATTTTTAGCTCTGTTTGACTCATCTGTATTTTTCCACAATAACAAAAATTGTGTTTTCCGTGCCCTTATTCTAGAATCAGCCATTTCTCCAAGAAACTCTGTTTTCTTTTATTGAAGAATGGTATTTAAAAACCAAGATCTGGGCACTGGGTATGCTTGTTATTATTGGGGTATCGTTGCTTCTAGGCTATCAGTGTAAAGTAATATATGTATTTACACTAATCCATGGAAACCCTGGTGGGGTAGTGGTTAAGAGCTACAGCTGCTAGCCAAAAGGTCAGCAGTTCAAATCCACCAGGTACTTCTTGGAAACTCTATGGGGCAATTCTACTCTGTCCTGTAGGGTCACTATGAGTTGGAATCAACTCCCAGGCAACGAGTTTTTTTTTATACTAATCCATGTATACACACAGATCTATAATTGTTTCTGTATCTGTTCATCTAGATATAAAGCTAAATATGAGTTCATACTGGATAATTACATACTTTAAATAACTGTAACTGTCATTTAAACAAAATGTAAAAATTCCTAAAGCAACTAAAACTTGATACTAACTAAAGGGTCAACATTTTGTTCATTGCATAGGGGTTGGGCAGATGAGTATGAACAATTGGATATAGTCGAAGAGTGTTAAGAAGTTATTTAAAAAAAAATTGTGTTTCTAAAATGAAGGACTATATTTTGATTAAATAACATAGGATATGTATGCACATCTTCAGCATACTGAGGCCAAGAATGAAAAATGTAATGGGAGAACTTAACTTCATGGACCTCAGAGACTTAGAGCAAGCTCAGACATAAGTAAAAATGTTCATTTGCAGAGCTTGTTAAATGCAGACTTACCTTAAGAGCGCTTATACAGTGAGCCACGAGGGTGCTGAATTCTTTCTATTTAAGAGTTAATTGTTGTCAAAACTCTAGCCTGAGAAGCAAAGAAGACCTGACACAGAGTGGCTGGACTTGGAGGAGCAATTGGATGAAACTGAGTGACACCCAGAGAACCTAACAATGATGTAAAATATTTGAGAGAGTTGTGGCTCCATGCGAATTCTATAGTTAGGATGTTATTACTGTCCCAGGCAGTTGCGCTGATTTGTTTTGAATCTTATATTTCATTCTTGTAATCAATTCAGTGGATTTATGAAGTATCTACTGTGTGCTCCTCAGGAAATCACAATCTATCAGGGGAAAGCAAACAATCGAATAGAATCAGGTAAAATAATGGAGATGCGCATCATACAATTTGAGAGTTCCAAAGATTGGCGTGGATCTCATTCTGGAGAGTATGAGATGGCTCTCTGAAAGAGGTGACATTTGATCCAAGTGCAACTGAGTATGAATTAGCCAGGTTAAAGGGAAGAGAGTTGGGCTGGTGATGGGTGGATATTTCTCCATGTAGAGTGACAACATATTTGCAAAGAAAAATGTGAAGCAACATATACAATGTAGGATGGTAAATACTTACAGTTTGGTGTTTTGGGAGCTTAGAGAGCCAGGTTGAGTTTTTACAGATGAACCTGGTGAGGTAAGTGGGGACCAGATCACCCATGGGCCTTGTGAGCCAGGGTTAAAAACTTGTGCTTTTTATGCTGTATGCCATTAAAGCCACAGGGGAGAGGTGGAGTCAGGCTTACATTTAAGCACATGGTGGTGGCAATGTGGAGGATGGATGTGAGGGGATGAAACTGAATTCGACATGACCAGCTAGGGGACTATCATAGTAATCCAGGCAAGCAATGAAAAGAACTTGGACCAGGGCAGTGGTAGTAAGCACAGAAGAGAGGAAACAGATTGTTAAGAAACTGAAGTAGAATCTGCAAGATCTGGTGTTGATTAGACAAAGAGGGTATAGGGAAAGGAAGAGTTAAGGTGATGCCTAGATTTCAATCATGGAAAGTATATTTATTGTTGTGCATCTGAGCTGCCATCGAGTTGGCCTGCTACTCATGGTGACCCCATGCACACTGAATGAAATGCTACCTGGTCCTGTGCCATCCCTATGATGGGTTGTTGGATAGGAACGTTGTGATCCATAGGGTTTTCATTCGCTGATTTTCGGGAGCAGATTTTCCTAGTCGATCTTAGTCTGTTCAGCATGATAGCAACATGTAGGCCTCCACTGACAGATGTGTGGCTGCACATGAGGTGCATTGGCCAGGAATTAAACCCTGGTCTCTGGCATGCAAGGCGAGAATTCTACCGCTGAAGCACCATTACCCTCAGATATTTATTATTTACTAAATTATAGGCTCTGTGCTAGGATTTGGGTTTACAATGGTAAATGAAAGTGGCATGATCCTTTCCCTCTCAGGGTTTAGAATCCAGGGAAGGATACAGGAATTTTAACAAAACACTCCAATAAATACATAAATATAAAACAGTAAAGGCTCTGCCTGAAAAAAAAAATAAGAAAGATATAGGAGGGACATGAATTAAATTGTGGTGCTAAGAAAGGTTTATCTGAGGAAGTGGCATTTAAACAGAAACAAGCCCAGGTCAAAAATGGGGAAAAGAATATTTCATACAGTGGGAATAACGTGGGAGACAGATAAGAGCTTTAAAAGTTGACAGAAAGCCAGGGTGGCTTAGGGTATAATGAGTGTGTGCCCCAACATGAGGTTCAAGAGTTAGGCAGGGGCTACATCTCATAAAGCTTTAGAGGCCATATGAAGAAATTTACATTTTATTCCAAGTGCAGTGAGAAACCGTTGATGGGTTTTATGCAGGAGGGTGACAAGATTAAAGATGAGTAGGTTCCAGGGAAGGAAAACGAGGAGTTCCATTTTAGGTTAACATGTTGATTTTGAGTTGTGTTGTCCATTACACAATTGGATTTAGGTATATTAAACTCACAGAAAAGTTTTGTGCTGATGATTGAGGTTTTGAGTTACCAGTATATAGTAGTGGAAACCGAGGAGAATCTGTACAGCAATCTGCTGAGGACATACTCCTGCAGAAAACACCAAGATTTCAGGTACAGACAAAGGAAGAAGAAATTAGAAAGACAGAAAAAATGCTCAAATTGCATAAAGAGAACCAGGAATATCATGGAAACCAAGTGAGTGGATTATTTCAAAAAAGAAGGATGATCAACAGTGTCAAATACAATAGAGGAATTTAGTAAGACTAAAACTGAGAATGGTTTCAGTGGAATGGTGAGAACAAAAGCCAGTTTGCAGTGAGTTGAGGCAGAACGGGAGGAGAGAAGCATTTAGTACTGTGTGTAGACCACTCTGGAGAAATTTGGATGCAATGGGGGAAGGGAGAGATTAGATAAAAGCTAAAGGGAAACTGAGATCTTAGAAACTTTTATTTTTTGTTTTTTAAAGACTTAGGCATATTCATAGGATGATGGAAAGGAGCCAGCAGGGGATAGATTAAGGATATGGAAGGATGATATATGGTGCAAAATGTCACAGGAGGTGGGAGGGAAAGGGGTCATGGGCACAAGGGGAGAGCCTAGTGTTGAACAGGAGTGACCCTCATCTGCTAAGACTGGAGATAGGACTAAGAAGGGATATGGAAAATATGCAGTTACATGGGTAAGAAGAGGAAATTAACTCTGCCAACAAAGATTCATTTAGCTCCTACTATGTATCAGTGGGAGCCCTGGTGGCGAAGTGATTAAGAGCTCAGGCTGCTAACCAAAAAGGTCAGCAGTTCGAATCCACCAGCCGCTCCTTGGAAACCCCTATGGGGCAGTTCTACTCTGTCCTATAGAGTCACTATAGGGTCGCTATGAGTCAGAATCAACTCATCGGCACACAACAACATGCATCAGTTAAAAGGAGTCCTGGTGGCACAATGGTTAAAGTGCTTGGCTGTCAACTGAAAGGTCGGTGGTTCGAACCCACCAGACACTCCTCAGGAGAAAGATGCAGCAGCCTGGTTCTGTAAAAATTTACAGCCTTGGAAACCCTATGAGGGCAATTCTACTCTGTCCTGTAGGGTCGCTATGAGTCGGAGATGGCAACGGGTTTTGGTTTTGGTTTATATTCAAAGAGGAGGATGTTTACTCAGGATTTTGATGAATGTCATGCCTTAGCCCTTCAGTCCCAGTCTTCAAGAAGCAACTCCCCTCTTCCCCACATTCCCCCCACTCCCTGCCATCCCAGACAGAGCTCTCTGTGTTATAGAGTCTTTGTGTTCTTTGCTTCTTTTAAGTTCTTAACAGAAAAAAAGACCAAAGATTCTTCACTAGGAAAATCCTTACTGCAACCAAGAAAAAAATGCATCTAAATGTTAAGAATTTCTCAGGTGCCTTTTCTAGATGGCACTTTATCCACTCTAACCATCTGAAATCAGTATGAATGGATAGAGGAATAATTTCTAGAAACTTTCATGGAATTACATCATCCATAATGAAAAGAAGTCTATATAAATTTCAAGATCTTAGAAAAATACAGTTTCACTATACTTCTACATATTTACTTGAGTATTTAATCCTTTATTGATTGCCAGTGAATAACAAACGTATAATCGTTTTTACAATTCATTTTCTTTTCCTATTAAAGGTTATTCACCTTGTCCTATCTTGAGGAACTTGATATTTCCTACAATGACGTTTCTTCTATTCCAGATGAAATCAAGAAACTCAGGTATTTTGAAAGTAGTAAGCACACCTGAAGTCATATGCCCCTTAAGGCTATCTCTGGTGACTATTGTAATAGAGAAGATTGAGTCCTTTCATTTATCTAAAATCCATAAAATGTACTATGTGAAGCATAATATTTACCAGAAATGTAATTTAAGTGATTGGTGCACAGTATTTTTAAGACATAACATTTTTAATCAAATGACAAGCTACCTTTGTCCATTTTTTCTGTGTGTGCGCATGTGTAGCACTTACCAGTTTTATTCATTTTTTGTAAGAAAATACATATACACAAAATGCTAATAACACAGAGTGTAATTTAATGCTGACCTCTGATTCTTTCTCACATTAATAAGAAAACTCTCCAAAGTTCATCTGTGTCTATGTCATGACCATATTATTTTAATTATGAATTTAGAGTAATTTTATTTTATTGTAGAAAAATAAAAAAATTTGCCATTTTGACCATTTTTAAGTGTACAATTCAGTGAGAGTGTTATATTCACCATATTGTGCAACCATCGCCATAGAGTAATTTCTATTATCTACTAGGGAGATTATCTGTCAATAATAATCCCTTAATTATTCTCTCTTAGATCATGAACTTTAAGACTGTTTAATACAATTCCCAACTCCTCCTCATAAACACAAAGTTGGGATTTTACTTGAAATTGCCTTGAGTTTACAGATGAATTTCAAATAGTTTATATTTTTAATGATAATAAATCTTTTCATCCTAAAACATAGTATATATTTTCGTTTGTTTGGATCTTATTTTATGTTCTTCGTAAGAATTTATGACTCGCCTCATGGAAGTCCTTTATCTCTCTTGCTAAACTTCCCTAAGTATTTCATAACAATGTTGCTACAATGAATGTAATTTTTTTTTCTAATTTCCATTTCTAGCTGACTATCGCCAGTTCAAAATAGAGAAGAGCTGTGTCTTTCTTTACATTAATTTAAAATCAGGCCATGTAACCAAATTCTCTTAATTAGTTCTGGTTGAGTCTTTCTAGATTTTCTTTGGTTTTTCAGAAACAACAATCTTTTCAGCAAAATGAGATAGTTTTATCTCTGCTTTTCTAATATTTATACCAATTATTTCGTTTCCCATGTGACAATCTCTGTATTTTAATAGAATTCAGTCTGTTTACATTTGTTATGACTGACATATCTAATTTTATACTTTTCATTTACTTTCTCCTTTTCCTATTTCCTTGTTTTCTGTGATTTGTTCCCTTTGTCCCCTCATTGCTAATTCTGAAGTTCTACTATGCTTTGCCAAGCTATTACCATATTTTTACACAAATAATGTGTGCTTCTACATTTGTTTGCCAACCTCTCCCTCCCCCTGTGAGGTATTTTCATAAGTGCCACTATGCCAATTTTTTTTACATGTTGCTGTAAAAAAAAAATTGGCATAATGTGCTTACGAAAATACCTCACAAGGGGAGGGCGTGGTTGGCAAACGTAGAAGGTGCACGTTATTTGCATAAAAATATGGTACTAGCTATCTTTTCTAAGACTCATAATCAAACACATTTTTCCTTATTAATTTTTAAAGCAAGGTAAAATCCACACCCCTACCATGATGGTCTCTCCCAGCTGCTGCCTTCCACCAATATCTGGGACTGTTTAATACCTTTATTTTCATACTCTCCCTCCAAACTCATCTGCCCTTCATCTAACTTTAGGTTTTGCTGAGATAGTTTAGGAAATTTTGTTTCAGATTCTCATTATTATTTTCCTTTGCATTGTCTCTTTTTATTTAAAGAATATTTAGCACTATAGTTTCACATTTACAATCACCCTTCATTTATATTTGTTGGTCTTGTTGTTCACTGCTGTGGAGTCAGCCTGGACTCATGGCGACCCCATGCACAACTGAATGAAAGGCTGCCTGGTCCTGTGCCATCCCCACGACTGGTTGTGGATCAGACTATTGTGATCCATAGGGTATTTATTGGCTGATTTTCGGAAGTAGATCATCAGGCCTTTCTTCCTAGTCCATCTTAGTCTCGAAGCTCCATTGAAACCTGTTCAGCATCATAGCAACACTATGTATTTTAAGACTTATTGCTTATTGCTGTTTTCTCTCCTCTTTCATCTCATCCTAAATTTACAGATATCTCTTTTGATTCATTGGCTGTTTAAAGGTTTTTCTTAAGTATTTTCCTCAGATGGAGGAAATCTTTAAATGATGTCTCAGTTGGGTGGACAGTCTTTTCCCAAGTAGTATCAATCATCACCTCCTTCTCTAGCTGCCAGCATTGTAGATGAGGCACCTGATGCCAATTTGATTCCCTTTTCTTTGTAAGTAGCTCCTATTTTTATCTGGAAAGACTAAGATTTTCTCAAAATCCTTGACCTTCAGGATTTTGTCAGGATAGGCTTAAGAATGTGTCCTTTTTTTTTTTTAAACCAATCTTACCTGGAATTCTTTTAACTCTCATCAGCATATTCAAACTTTTCTTTTTTTAAGTTCAGGGATATTTTCTTCTATAATTTGTTACTATAATGCCTCTCCTTCCTCTGTCTCATTTTCTCTTCCTGAAACTCCTATTATTTATATATTAGGTTTCCTTGATCTGTTTTCCATGGCACCTATATTTGCAGCCATATTTTCCTCATAATTATTTAAAATATGTCTTCACCCTGGTTTGAAGCATTTCTTCTACATATGTCTATCAGTTTGTCTTACTGTGGTGGCTTGTGTGTTGCTGTGATGCTAGAAGCTATGCCACCAGTATTTCAAATATCAGCAGGGTCACCCATGGTGGACAGGTTTCAGCACAGCTTTCAGACTAAGAAAGACTACAGAGAAGGACCTGGCGGTCCACATCTGAAAAAATTGGCCAGTGAAAACTTTATGAATAACAGCAGAATATTGTCTGGTATAGTGCGGGAAGATGAGCCACTCAGGTTGGAAGGCACTCAAAACACAACTGCCTCAAAATAGAGTCGACCTTAATGACGTAGATGGAGTCAAGATTTTGGGAGCTTCATTTACTGATGTGGGATGACTCAAAATGAGAAGAAACAGCTGCAAACATCCATTAATAATTGGAACATGGAATGTACAAAGTATGAATCTTGGAAAATTGGAAATTATCACAAATCAAATGGAACACATAAAGATTGATAGCCTGGGCATTAGTGAGCTGAAATGGACTGGTATTGGCCATTTTGAATCGGACAATCATATAGTCTACTATGCTAGGAATGACAATTGGAAGAGGAATGGCATCACCTTCATTGTCAAAGAGAACATTTCAAGATCTATCCTGAAGTACAACGCCATCAGTGATAGGATAATATCCATATGCCTACAATTAAGACCAGTTAATACGACTATTACTCAAATTTACACACCAACCACTCGTGCCAAAGATGAGGAAATTGAAGATTTTTAACAACTTTTGCAGTCCAAAGTTGATCAAACATGCAATCAAGATGCATTGATAATTACTGGTGATTGGAATGCAGAAGTTGGTAACAAAAAGGATTGGTAGTTGGAAAATATGACCTTGGTGATAGAAACGACTTGGGAGATTGCATGTTAGAAATTTACAAGACAACGACTTCTTCATTGCAAATACCTTTTTTCAACATCATAAATGACAGCTATACATATGGACCTCTCCAGATGGAATACACATGAATCAAATCAACTACATCTGTGGAAAGAGACATGGAGAAGCTCAATATCATCAGTCAGAACAAGGCCAAGGCCAGGGGCCAACTGTGGAACAGACCATCAATTGCTCAGATGCAAGTTCAAGTTGAAGCTGAAGATAATTAGAGCAAGTCCAGGAGAGCCAAAATATGACCTTGAGTATATCTCACCTGAATTTAGAGACCATCTCAAGAATAGGTTTGACGCATTGAACAATAATGACTGAAGACCAGACAAGTTGTGGAATGACATCAAGGACATCATACACAAAGAAAGCAAAAGGAAAGACAGGAAAGAAAGAAAAGACCAAAATAGATGTCAGAAGAAACTCTGAAACTTACTCTTAAACGAAGGGTAAACTAAAGCAAATGGAAGAAACGATGAAATAAAAGAGTTGAACAGAAGATTTTAAAAGGCCGTTCAAGAAGACAAAGTAAAGTATTATAATTAAATGTTCGAAATGTTCAAAAGGGAAGAACATAGTCAGCATTTCTCAAGCTGAAAGAACTGAAGAAAAAATTCAAGCCTTGAGTTGCAATATTGAAAGATTCAATGGGCAAAATATTGAACGATGCAGGAAGCATCAAAAGAAGATTGTACACAGAGTCACTGTACTGAAAAGAATTGGTCAATGTTCAGCCATTTCAGGAGGTAGCATATGAGCAAGAATTGATGGTACTGAAGGAAGAAGTCCAAGCTGCGCTGAAGCGAATGGCGAAAAACAAAGCTCCAGGAATTGATGGAATACCAGTTGAGATATTTCAGCAAACAGATGCAGCACTGGAGGTGCTCATTCATCTATGTCAAGAAATTTGGAAGACAGCTTCCTGGCCAACCGACTGGAAGAGACCCATATTTGTGCCCATTGCAAATAAAAGTGATCTAACAATGCAGAAATCATCGCACAATATCATTAACATCACACACGAGTAAAATTTTGCTGAAGATCTTTCAAAAGTGGTTGCAGGAGTGCATCAGGAGGGAACTGCCAGAAATTCAAGCTGTATTCAGAACAGAAAGCGGAGCAAGGAATATCATTTCTGATGTCAGATGGATCTTAGCTGAAAGCAGAGAATACCAGAAAGATGTTTATCTGTGTTTTATTGACTATGCAAAGGCATTCGACTGTGTGTATCAAAACAAATTATGGATAACACTGCGAAGAATGGGAATTCCAGAACTCTTAAGTGTGCTCATGAGGAACCTGTACATAGACCAAGAGGCAGTCGTTAGAACAGAACGAGGGGACACTGTGTGACTTAACGTCAGGAAAGGTTTGTGTCAGGGTTATATCCTTTCACGATACTTATTCAATCTGTATGCCGAGCAAATAATCTGAGAAGCTGGACTATATTAAGAAGAATGCAGCAAAAAGATTGGAGGAAGACTCGTTAACAACCTATGATATGCAGATTATACAACCTTGCTTGCTGAAGGTGAAGAAAAGTTGAAGCACTTACTGATGAAGATCAAAGACTACAGCCTTCAGTGTAGATTGCACCTCAATATAAAGAAAACAAAAATCCTCACAACTGGACCAATAAGCAACATTATGATAAATGGAGAAAATATTGAAGTTGTCAAGGATTTCATTTTACTTAGATCCACAGTCAACACCCATGGAAGCAGCAGTCAAGAAATTAAATGATGTATTGCACTGGGCAAATCTGCTGCAAAAGACCTCTTTCAACTGTTGAAAAACAAAAATGTCACTTTGAGGACTAAGGTGCACCTGACCCAAGCCATGATATTTTCAATCTCCTCATATGCATAGGAAAGCTGGGCAATGAGTAAGGGAGACCAAAGAAGGATTGATGCCTTTGAGTTGTGGTGTTGGCAAAGAATATTGAGTATAGCATGGACTGCCAGAAGAACAAACAAATCTGTCTTGGAAGAAGTACAGCCAGAATGCTTCTTAGAAACAAGGATGGGGAGATTTCATCTCACATACTTTGGACATGTTATCAGGAGGGACCAGTCCCTGGAAGAGGACATCATGCTTGGTAAAGTAGAGGGTCAGTGAAAGAGAGGAAGACGCTCAACGAGATGGATTAACACAGTGGCTGCAACAACGGGTACAAGCATAACAACTATTTGAGGAAGGCACAGGACTGGGTAGTGTTTCATTCTGCTGTACATAGAGTTGCTATGAGTTGGAACTGACTTCATGGCACCTAACAACAACAACTTTTACTTTGTCATTGCCTCTAATTCAGATCTCCGCAAAGACCATCTGCTCCATGAGTTCATCCACTTAATTTTTTAGTTTTACAATTTACACTGTTTGGTTCCAGAAAGTCTTATGTGCTTTTGGGCTCTGTTTGAATCTTAAGTGGGTTTTTTTCCCCAGTATCTTATCTGTCTCTCCTCAGAATCTGCTTGCCTCAGGAATACTGTTCTGTGTGTTTTGCTTGTTTTTCTTTCCTGGTTGGTCCATCTTCTGCTCAGGTCTCATGGTAGTCACAGAGGACCATTCAGAGCCCTGAGAATGTCAGTAGTGAGCCAGGAGGAAGTTTCTTTGCTCCCAGGATGCTCTGCAGCAAAGAATGTCTAAACAAGGAGCTCTACCAGCTTTAAGGATTGTTTAGGCTGTGTACCAATTGCTGTAGGGTAGATTCTGATGCATGGTGACCCCATGTGTGTCAGAGTAGAACTGCGCTTCATAGGGTTTTCACAGGCTGATTTTTCAGAAATAGATTGCCATGTCTTTCTTCCAAGGTGGTTCTGGGTGGACTCAAACCTCCCACCTTTCGGTTAACAGCTGAGCGCTTAACCATTTGCACTATTCAGGGACTCCTTAGTCTGTTTAATTCCCCACCAAACTCACTGTGGGAGAGGGAGCACCCAAACTGGCAGGTCTTCTAAGGTAAACCAACTCAGACAGGGGCAGCCTAGCCCAGGGGTGTTCTGGGGACCTTCGCCAGCATTGTCCCTGAGTCCCCCCGCCCCCCACACGCTTGTTCTGATTGTCCATTTAGGGTTTTCTAATGCTGGTCCCTAGGCTTGTGTCAGATACAGAGGAGAAAAGGGATCACACCAGCTCCCTCTTTTAGGGCCCAAGCAGAGCCTGGGGTCTCACTTACATTTTACAGACCATGAGAGGTCCACCAGCCAAAATGGGTTGAAGGAAGAAGATTACCTGGAATGCCATCTTCCTCATCTCATTGTTTTAAATACTAGTTTGACCGTATTTTGGAGCCCTGGTGGTGCAGTGGTCAAGAGTTCAGCTGCTAACCAAAATGTCAGCAGTTGAAATCCACCAGCCGCTCCTTGGAAACCCTAGGGGGCAGTTCTGCTTTGTCCTGTAGCGTCAGTATGAGTCAGAATCAACTCAACAGCAACAAGTTTTGACTGTATTTTAATACTGTCAGCAGGAGTCATAATTAAAGGACTTAAACTACGTGAGTAAAAGATGTGAAACTAGACTGTACACAAGAATCTAGAGGTTCCCAGATGCCCTTTACCTAAAGTCCGTATTGCAGCCTCTTCACCCCAAATGCATTTGCAAGTGGAACTAGCCTTTGATTTGATTTTTATATGTCCCTCATGAATGGATACTTTTCTGTCTGCTTCCAGCACTAATTAGAAAGGAGATAAGTAACTGTTCAAAAAACCATTGAGAGAAGTGGCATACAAGTAGAAAATTAGTAGTGTTGGTTTTCTTTGAATAAAGAAATAAGAGTTACTGACCCACAAAAAACCAGGACTCAGGTGATGAAAAGCCAACACATACCCACCACAAAACACATTTTGATAGTGTAAATTTCACTGTTTTGATTGAGGTCATATAAAAAATACCCATTGATATTCAGTTTGTCTATGAAAATATATTCTTTCTGTGTAACATTATACTACAAACCAAAAAACCAAACCCATTATCGTTGAGTTAATTCTGACTCATAGTGACCTAATAGTGCACGGTAGAACTGCCCCATAGGGTTTCCAAGGCTGTAATCTTTCCAGAAGCAGACTGCCACATCTTTCTCCCATGGAGTGGCTGGTAGGTTCAAACCACCAACCTTTTAGTTAACAGTCGGGTGCTTAACTACTCACCCCCAGGGCTCCTACTTTATTATACTATAAAACCAAAAAACCAAACCCGTTGCCATCTAGTCAATCCCAACTCATAGCAAGCCTATAGGACAGAGTAGAACTTCCCCATAGGATTTCCAAGGAGCAGCTGGTAGATTCGAATTGCTGACTTTTTGATTAGCAGCTGAGCTTTTAACCACTGCACCAACAGGGCACCTTATTATACTATACCATATCTATATTGGAGTCCTGGTGGTGCAGTGGTTAAAAGCTCAGCTGCTAACTAAAAGGTCGGCAGCTCAAATCCACCAGTCACTCCTTGGAAACCCTGTGGGGCAGTTCTACTCTGTCCTATAAGGTCTCTATGAGTCAGAATCGACTTGACAGAAATGGGTTTGGTTTTGGTTTATACGTATACTGTTTGAATCTTGGTGGCACAGTGGTTAAGAGCTCAGCTGCTAACCAAAAGGTTGGCAGTTGGGATTCATCAGCCACTCCTTGGAAACCCTGTGGGGCAGTTCTACTCTGTCTTATAGGGTCACTGTGAGTAGGAATCGACTATGAGTAGCAATCAATTTGACGGCAACAGGTTTGGTTTTTTTGGTTTTATTTATGGGGAGCACTTGGGTGGCACAAATGGTTCAGTACTCGACTACGAGCCAAAAAGTTGACAGTTCAAACTCACCCAGATGCACCTCAGAAGACAGTCCTGCCATCTACTTCCAAAAGTTCACAGCCTTGAAAACCTTAAGAAGCAGTTCTACTTTGCACACGTGGGGTCACCATGAGTCAGAATCAACTGGACGGCAACTAACAACAACATACTATATTATACCTTATGTAACATATTTATTAGCCTTGCTGTATTTATAGATATTTCTTTTTCCATAGTGATAAGACATGTTGCAAAGACCCAAAACACACACTTTAAATGCACGATTCACACAAATGCACCTAATTGCTTAATAATATATGGTTCACATGCTTTGTAAGTAAAATGTCTTAATTTTAAGAAAATACTTAACTATATGCTTGTATTTTATTGGTAAAAATTTGATATAAGTCTTCAAGAGCATTGGGGCAGAATTTTACTTCAATATTATAAATTGCATGAATACATTTTAAAGTATAGTTTCCTTTATGTGCAGATCACTTGAAAAACTGAACGTGGATGGTAATGATCTGACTTCTTTCCCACCTGGAATTTTGAAGCTGAACCTGAGAAAAATCCAATTTGAGAATAATTACACTCATCCTCATCTTTGGAAAGAGAATTCTTTGAATAGTCCACAGCATCTCACTCACCTCGTTTCTTTGTTCTTTTTCAAAAATGATCTACATAGATATCATGATGTGATCCCAGAAGAAATTCAAAAGTTACTAAAATGGTGAGCAAACTTTATGCAAAATGCACTTTTAGGCCTTTAAAATGTTCTTTGTTACAGGCCCAGATGACAGTTTTACTGTTAACGCACACACACACAATTCCTCAAATTGCCCCTCTGGTTTCTCAGGCATAAAAATGTAGTCTGAAATTTGTCTCATTTTCTAATATTCTCAAGCTATTACTTAAATCCAGTGTAAAATGAGGATTGCTGAGATGTAGCTGACAGTATCTGTACAGCTACCACATAAATCAAGGAGCCTCGTGGTGCAGCAGTTAAAGCGCTCAGCTGCTAACTGAAATGTCAGCAGTTCAAACCCCCCAGCCACTCCGCCAGAGGAAGATGTGGCGGTCTGCTTCTGTAAAGATTTACAGCCTTGGAAACCCTATGGGACAGTTCTACTCTGTCCTCTAAGGTCACTATGAGTCTCTTCTAGGACAGTATGAAGAGCTCTAGTGGCACAAATGGTTAAGCGCTTAGCTGCTAACTGAAAGGTTGGCAGTTTGAACCCACCCAGCAGCTCCTCAGGAAAAAGACCTGGTGATCTGCTTTCATAAACATTACAGCCAAGAAAACCTTATGGGGCAGTTCTACACTGCCACATGAAGTCACTATGAATTGGAATCAACTCCACGGCACCCACCAATAACAAGAGAGTATGAGAGCCGCTGATGGCCCTCCTTCTCGCCAAACTTTGTATTGTCAGATTCTTACATTTTTACCCATCTAATGATTGTAAAATGGTATTTCTTTGCTATCTTATTTGTTTTCCATGATACTAGTGAGACTGAGAAACTTTTCCTATGTTCTCTGGACATTTAGGTTTCTTCTCCTGTGAACTGTCTGTTCATGTGCTAGTATTAATGTACTAATGGGTTGTCATTTTTTTTAACTGATTGTGAGCATTTTAAAATATATTATGAATACTAATCCTGTACAGTGTTATGACTGACTATTTATTTATTTAGGATTGGATCCTGCTTTATTGCAGTAACCACACTATGGATAAAATCTTGACATGTAAAATATCATTTAAAGATTATTTTAAAAATAGTCCCTTTATTTTTAAAATGATGTATTTATTTTGAATTATGAAAATAATACACATTATTGTAGAAAATTTGAAAAATACATAAAAACATTATAAAGAAATAAAAAATTTCCTGTGCTCACATTGTCCATGGATAATTGCTGTTTTTCACTTTGGGTCTATCCTTAGAGTCTTTTTTTACTATGCATGAACACATTTTTTGTTTTAGAAAACTAGGATTCTATTATACATTGTAAGAACGGAGTGAAGGCGGCGTCTGACCTTCTCTAACTTCACAAGCGGGAAGGAGAATAAGAATCAACAGCCTAAGGCTGATTCCTTCGAGACGTAGCATCTCTGTCCCATCTTTACCAGTTCTGACACCAACCGTCCCTCTCATGGCACTCTCTACTTCACTGCTCGGCTGGATAATTCATTGCAATGGCCACACAGAACTCAATGATTATGGGGTTTATTAGGGAAGTAACAGGTTACAGTTCAGGTTCAGAAACACTCAGGATGCAGTTCTTCCATCAGGACAGTCTCTGCCTCTCTCTAGCCCCTTGGCCTCTGCCCTGCTCAGGCAAGTGTTACAAAGCTCTTTTAGCTCTTCCAATAAGTGCCCAGAGGCACCCCACTCCACTTTCATGCTCCATGGGCTGAGAAGCCCACTGAGCTGTCTCCTGCCGGTCTCTCCTGCCGTTGTTTCTCTCTGTCTTCAGTGGTTACAGCTCTGTCTCCTAGGATCAAGAGCTTCTCAGTGCAGGGACCCCAGGTCCAAACGACGCAATCTCTTCTCCTGGCTGTTCTTCCTTGGTGGTGGTGGGATCCTCTCTCTGCTCTGGAACTGGCTCTCTTTTAAGGCAAAACTGACCAATCCCCTTGGTGGGCCACAACTGCCTTATTTGCACAGTCTCACCCAGTCACTTGGGTGGGAGTTACAAGACTACGGCTAGAAAGGCCACACAAAAACCATCTATCCAACCACTGACATGTATATCTCCTTTATTGTTTAGCTCTTTTTTCATTTAGTTTCTCACTTGGGTATATCTTATTCCCTCATCTGGATGGTGAGGACACAATCAAGATAAAGGTCATTTTTTGTATGACTTCGAGTCTTGCACAGCATCAAGCACAGTGTTTTTATTTTAGTAGAAATTTATTCAATATTGACTTGATGTTTCCTTCATTTCAGCACTTCCCGTTGCGAATGGTGCCGAGGGCCCATGTTTGGTGAAGGTTTACGCGTCATCCGAGCCTGTGATGTTTTTGGAATAACACAGTTTCCTGTTATGTTCCATGTCTGTTCTTCTTCTTGCTATGTACAAGTAAAGCAAAGCGGTTAGGTTTTTGATACTATTTCTGGTAAAAAAAAAAAAAAAAGTAATGCTAAGTTATGAGTTGACAAGAAAATGAGAGTCTATCATTCCCACTGTAAAAGCCAATAAAGTCTGTGTAGATAGTAATTTATCTCTTTGAAAAGACAGGTTCTGTATGGAAGACATAGGTTTCTTCTCATCTGAATCATCTGTGTAATCCCAGCACCTTATGAAAGTCTGTAATTGTTATCAGAGTGTTGCAGAAAAAGTATTCAAGAAGGATTTTAAGGCTCCTTAGATTTCAGTCAAGATCTAGAAAATTTCTTTCAGTGCATGTCTACTATAAAAATAAAAATGTTAGAATCCTTTGCAGAAAGGACCGTATCTTACAACTGGTCTTTCCATGCATCTGTTCTAAGTGAGGAAATAAACATGTAAATGTCACCAGTAGGGTTTGTGGCTCATATGGATTCAAAGTCATACATCCAAGTTCTCAATGTTCGTGCATTTCTGTGAAAATCTGTCCAGGGCCAAACATCTCAATTGTGAATTGTTTTTGGGAATAAAAGATTGATTCCAGGCCCAATTTTAGTTGTTTGAATTCATTACCCAAGCTCTTAGAAAACCGGTACAATCCCTAACAGCCACCTTGACCCTAATCTCATAAAACTGAGATTCTGGGCATTGGTCTGATCCCACAGGCTAGCACGAGCATTCACCAAGGCCTTTAGTAATAGCACAACAAGAAAATGGAGCAAAACTTACAAAATCATATTGCAAAGCATCATGGAAATACAATATAATTTGAGGCTTTAAAAATTAATGTTTGGTAAGAGTAATGTAAAAGAACATTTTGATATAACAAAAAATTTTAGAAGTGCATGTAACTATTTCATATATGGCACACCTTTTATGTACTATTATCTCAAATCTAAAGCATCATTGCTAATTAAACTTGGTGAAGTGAACTAATTTAAGTATGTAATGCTATATTATCATTAGAAAATGTCAGAAAATACACACTGTGTCAGGTATGTGTGTATCATTTAATAACACCATTGAAATCAAAGACTAAATAAACCAGGCAGAATAATTTTTCTGTTGATTTTAATAAATTGAGATGCTTACATTCTCCTTGAGACTTGGTTTGATTTTAAGCAGTAATAGGTAAACTTTGCCTAAGAAGTATGCACTGTATTCTCCACCAAAAGAATAAAAATATTTATAATAGGAGAAGTAACTGCCCTATCACATGTATAATACAGAAGGGGATAGTTATAGCAAGATAATAAATTCATTAAACATATACCACAATTAGAAAACAAGAGAAAAAATAAGATTAAATACTAGTGACAAGTACTCTTAATAATCACCCTGGCCACTGACATATTTCTTGGGGGAAAAAATATATTCATTCATTCAAGAAATGTTGGGTTTTGGTTTGAGTAACTGGGTGGTGTCACACTGAGATAGGAATAAATGAGAATAGGTTTCAAGGGGAAATGACTATCTTAGAGGCACTGCACGGAAACAAATTTCAGGTATATATCACAATCACAATCTCATTATCTTATTTTCCCATGGTTAGAGTAAACCCTGAAATCTAAGTGATTTCTTACAGAACTTTAAAAAGTAACTTAGAGTGTGTTTTTTCTTAATAAGAAGGTGAGACATAATTATTACAGAAATATTAGAAAGTACAATTAAGCCTAAGAAGAAAAATACAGAATTCCTTGTAATCCCACGCCCAATTAAAATCAGAAATAATTTTGACATGTAGATGTGTGTGTGGACACTCACATTTATATAACATATTAGTCTTTTTAAAAATGTATTATCTGCCTCATACCACACACAAAAGTTAATGTGAAAATAGACTATAGTAAGTTAAAAATGTATACTATAAATGCTAAAGCCAACCCCTTAAAAAAGGTATAACTAATAAGCCAAAAATAATAAATAAATGAAATCTTCAAAAATAATCTAAAAGGAAGCAGATGAAGAAGGAGGAAGGGGAACAAATAATAGATTGGACTAATCAAACACAAATAGCAAGATGCTAGATTTAAACCCAACCATATCAATAATCATTGTAAATGTAAATGGTCTAAACACTCCAATTTAAAAGGCAGAAATTGTAAGACTGGATTAAAAAACAACTCTCAACTATATTCTGCCTGCAAGAAACCCCTCTTGAACATAAAAACACAAATGGATTAAAAGCAAAAGGATAGTATAATGGTTAGTCTTATGTATAAACGTGACTAAGCTGTGTTGTTGTTAGATGCTGTCAAGTTGACTCTGACTCATGGTGCATAATACATAATACAACAGAGCAGATGACCTTTTGAACAATGAAATGTTGCCCAGTCTTGCATTATCTTCACAATTGCCAGCATGTTTGAGTCCATCATTTCTGCTATTGTGCCAATCTGTCTCACCAAGGGTCTCCCTCCCCTTTTCTGGCCCTCTACTTCACCAAGCACAATATCTACCTCCAGCAACTGGTCTTTCCTGATGACATGTCCAAAGCAAGGGAGTCAGACACTATTCTGTTGTGATCTGTAAGGTTTTCATTGGCTAATTTCGGAAGTAGATAGCCAGTCCTTTCTTCATAGTCTGTCTTAGTCTGGAAGCTCAGCTGAAACCTGTTTACCACGAGTGACACTGCAGGTATTTGAAATACTGGCGGCATACCGTCCAGCGTCATAACCACATGCAGTCACAACATTAACACAAACTGACGGATGGGTCATGGGCTAAGCTCTAGAACACAGTTATTTAATCAAACCCTAATATAGGTGTTGCCATGAGTGAAGGTATTTTGTAAATGTGGTTAATATCTACAATCAATTGCCTTTAAGTAAAGGAGATTACCTTGGTAATGTGAGTGGGCTTAATCAAATCTGTTGAAAGCTTTAAGAGCAAAAATTGAGGTTTCCTGGAGAAGAAGAAATTCTACCTCAAGACTGAAGCATAAGGAAGGCGGAGCCAATATGGTGCTGTAGATAGAAGCACCATGCCATCCCTCCACAGCAAAGACCCAAAAAACTAAAACAGAGACAAATGTCAGTCCTGGAACCCTAAGCATCAAATGAAGAGATAAAGAACTCACCCAAGCACCAAATGGAGTAATAAACTGACAGAGAACAAACAGTGAGGAGAAATACATGCAGAGGTCCCCTATCAGCTAACACAGCATGGATTTGGCATCTTGGACTCCTCAGCCACCGAGAACAGCAGACAGAGAGTATGGGAAGACAGCATCAAGGAGCTCCCAGCATGAGACAGAGCACCTGGTAACCAGCGATACACACTTTCCTATTCTCTACCCTTCTTCTCCCTGCTCAGCCTCTGCTGCTTCCTGGCAGGCCAGGGACACTCAGCCAGGGAAGGTGCCAGCCACTTGCTACTTGGATTTGCCCTGCCCACACCAGTCGGCTCCTTCAGTGCCTTTTTGTTGTTGTTGTTCCTTTTTTTTGGCTTCTTTTGGTTTCTTCTCTCTCTCTCTCTCACCTCCTTCCCTTCCTTTCTCTCAAACACCTGGCTCCATGCGCCATCTCTGCTCCTTCTTGACAGGCTGTGAAGCACTGCTTAGTTGGGGAACCACTTGCCAGTCTGAGCTGTCACGCCAGTGGGATCCCTGGGGACATTTTTTTCTTTTTCTTTTTTTCCTTTTTGTTTTTCTTCATTTCTTGGTTTCTCATCTCTCTCTCTGCTTCCCTTCTTTTCCTGTCTCCTGAATACTTGGCACTGTGTGCCATCTGCGTCCCTTCTAGATGGGTTGTGCAGTGCCACTCAGCTTGGAAGCCACTTCCCCGGTCCGCACTGCCAAGCCAGTGGACTCCCTTGGGAATTTTTTTTTCTTTTCTCTGTTTCTTGTCTCTCTTTACCATCCTTCCCCTAGCATCATGTGCCATCTCTGCTCCTTCTTGATGGGCTATGCAGGGCCACTCAGCTGAGGACCTGCTTCTGGTGGGCTCCCATGGGGCATTTCTTTTCTTCTTCTTTTTTTTTTTTTCATGGTTTCTTGTCTCTCTCTACCTTCCTTCCTTTTCTTCCTCCCAGCCACCTGGCGTATTTTCTTTCTTGGTTTCTTGTCTCTCTCTACATTCCCTCCATTCCTTTCTCCCGACCACTTAGCTGCATGTGCTTTCTCTCCTCCCCCCCCTTTTTTAAATCTAGTTTCTTATCTTTCTGTCCCTTCCTTTCCTTTCTCCCACCCAACTAGCTGCGTGTGCCATATCTGTCCCTTCTTGACAGGCTATGCATCACTGCTTGGCTAGAAAGCCACTGGCACATGGTTTCCCAGGCTTACACCGCTCCAACAGCAGGCTCCCTCTGCACATTTTTTTTTTTTGGCTCCTATTTCTCTCTCCTCTTTCTCTTCTTTCCCACACCCACTTAGCTCCACACATCACAACGTCCCCCTCCCTACTGGCTGTCTGCACTGTGCACTGAGCATTGCACCCCCGAGTAGCACAGGCACGGTCTACCCGAACCTGCCCTGCACTGACCCCCAGCCCCGCCCCGTCAGCCCCAGTACATGCCACAAACGACTCATCCTAGTGCCTCCCCTTCTGCTAGACCTGCCCTGCTGCACCGTAGCTGAGCGACTGGCCCTGCCCATTAGACAAGGTGGTGAGAAGTATTGTGCCCACAGACAAGCAAACAACAAAGAATGCCCAGCCCACCTGCTCAGACAACCAAATAAAACAAAAAAGCAGGATGAAACAAACAAATCTAGATCAATAAATGAAGAAAATAATTACTTAATGTCCTGAAGACAGCAGACAATATCAAAACATATAAAGAAAACAGGACAGGATAGTTTCATTACACATCCAAAATAACAGATGACCTTCCAGTAGAAGAAAAGGCACTGGAACTACGTGATAAGGAATTGAAATCTCCAATATGCAGAGATATCCAAGAGTTGAAGGAAAAAGTAGACAAAATGAGGAAAAAATAGACAAAATCATGGAAAAGACAGATAAATTCATGGAAAAGACAGACAAAACAATGGA